TTTAGATAGTACTTTTTGTAACTATGTGCACCACAGTAGAAACATTGACGTACTAAGCAATTAGATAGTAAAACTTTATACTATTCACTTTATAGGCCAAAAAAAAGAAGCTAAAATACAACCTCAAATATTTGTAGGCCTGGTACCTTACCTTAAGGTTACCTTGAGGTGATATCGGGACTTAGCGACCCCGCGGCCCAGTCGTCGACCAGGCCTCCTCGTTGCTGGACTAAATCAACCAGGCTGTTAGATGCGGCTGCTCGCAGCCTGGTTGATCAGGTATCCTTTGGAGGTGTTTGTCAAGTAATCTCTTGAGCACTGTTAGGGGTCGGCCAGTTATGTCCCTTATGTGTAGTGGAAGCGTGTTGAACAGTCTCGGACCTCTGATGTTGATAGCTCTCTCTCAGAGTACCTGTTGCACCTCTGCTTTTCAACGGGGGTATTCTGCACATCCTGCCATGGCTTCTGGTCTCATGTGATATTATTTCTGTGTGCAGGTTTGGGACCAGTCCCTCTACTATTTTTCACGTGTAAATTATGTATCTCTCCCGCCTGCGCTCAAGAGAATACAGGTTTAGGCCTTTTAGTCGATCTCAATAGTTTAGATGTTTTACAGAGTTCATTCTAGCAGTAAAGGATCTCTGCACGCTCTCAAAGTCAGCAATTTCTCCAGCTTTGAAAGGGGCTGTCATTGTGCAGCAGTATTCTACTCTAGAGAGCACTAGCGCCTTGAAAAGTATCATCATCGGTATAGCATCTCTAGTGTGAAAGGTTCTTGTTATCCAACCTGTCATATTTCTTGCAGTTGTGACGGCTACTTTATTGTGTTCTTTAAATGTAAGGGCTATCGACATGAGTACACCCAAATCCTTTACATTGCCTTTTCGTTCTATGTTCTGATTTAACTGCGTTTTGTACGTGGTTTCCGTTTTTATATTTTCATTTTTTCCGTAGCGTGTATGAGCTGGAACTTATCTTCGTTAAACACCATAGCACATGATATAGCACACATATGTATTATATTAGGCCTCAGATTATTAGGACTAGTTAGTCCTGGAGATTATAACTAAGCTCCATCACTAATCGATCCCCGGCAACTCTCGTGGTGCAATTTGAGCAATGCTTTTCATGAATGCTTTCTTTCACATTAGTAGGCCCGAGCATGCACCAAGATTTGATGAAAAACTATTCCCAAATTGCACCACGTGAGTTATCGGGGACTGGTTAGTCAAGAAGCTTAGTTAATGAGCTCCATGCATTGGTTCTATGGCTGGCCCAAAAATACCATAATACCAACACGGTTATATTCCTCAGTGCATAGTTGAAAAGTGGTTTAATCAAATAAGTTATCTTAGAAACATAACTTTAATAATTACAATACATTAATACTAATAAAGTATGAAAAATGGTTATCTTGAAGAGGAAAATAATAAGTCTGAGTATATAAATGAATCTTTATTAGTAGTACTGTATGTATAAATATTTCCAGTACGTGTACACGCTACCCTGTGGGTTAGTTCATGTATTGATTATATGCGTAGGAACATTGGCCTCCCTTGTGCTCGGGCCCAGGCTAGCAGGGACTGTTAGGAAGTGAGAAGGCTTTTGGAGTGCGTAGAACCTTTGGATATTGTGGGGGTGGGGCCGTTGGGTATAATGAGGGTGGGGGCGTTGGATATAATGAGAGTGGGGCCGTTGGGTATACTGAGGTTATCTTGAGATGATTTCGGGGCTTTTTAGTGTCCCCGCGGCCCGGTCCTCGACCAGGCCTCCACCCCCAGGAAGCAGCCCGTGACAGCTGACTAACACCCAGGTACCTATTTTACTGCTAGGTAACAGGGGCATAGGGTGAAAGAAACTCTGCCCATTGTTTCTCGCCGGCGCCTGGGATCGAACCCAGGACCACAGGATCACAAGTCCAGCTTGCTGTCCGCTCGGCCGACCGGCTCCCAAAGGGTGAGGCCGTGAGGCCGTGAGTACTGAGGGTGGGGCCGTTGGATATAATGAGGGTGGGGCCGTTGGATATAATGAGGGTGGGGCCGTTGGATATACTGAGGGTTGATGATGGGGCCGTTACATGTTAGATAAGACTCTTAGGTAATGTGGCGGGGTAGGATAGGCCTGTTGTGATAGTGTATGGGTAGGGGCAGGACCTTTAGGGCACTATGGAATGAGGTGAGAGTGTTATTAGCGTACTGGAAAAAAGAGAGCCGTTAGATCAGGGTAGGGGCAAGAGGGTCACATAACAGGTAGTAGTGCGAGCTAGGCTGCTGAGCAAAAAATATTTTCGATTTATTTACACTTGTTGCCTATAAAAGCTCAGGTGGCTAGTTCATTAACAAGCGACGTTGATTCTGTCTTCAAACGCCGCTTACTCAACGAAGAAGTTGCATCCTCCCACAGACAACTCTCGAGGTAATGTTCCCCGGGAAGTATTGTGATCTGTCATTTAAATAACTTGGTGATAGATCAGTGAATAACATTATATAACATCAGGCCCGGGAACTAGGGAAGAGGTGGGTTGGGAGTGAAGAGCTGACGATAGGTTTTCATCATCCTAGATAAACAGGTTACTGAGGCTCCAGCAGTACCAAGAGGCCTACCATATGAAAAGTCGGAACCAGCCTATCTAGTAAATACAAACCAGCCTCCAAAAATATAAGTCCTTATTGAAACTGCCGATCCAACATTAAAAAAATATACTTCTGTACCCCTCCCACATAACGTCTTGTATTACCCCTAAATGGCTTGCAAAAATAATACAAAAGTAACTATACAACTTAATCTAATCTTACCTAGATTTTAATAACCAGTTCTAGGCCTGATCTACGTTACCTAAAGCCTAATTTGGCACATATATATATATATATGCTATACTAGGCTTAGAAAAGTCAAGGTTATGTTATTGCCTCTTTCTCTCCCTCAGCAAGATTAATAACAAAACGCTTTTTATATGCAATAATTAATTTTCGTACATTGGATCAGTAGTTTCTATAAGTACTATATCATATTTGAATAACAACTTGAAGAACTAGCAACATCACTCAACACTCTTACTGAAGATCACATATTGAATTTGTAATTTATATGCTAAGTATAAATACCTTTGCACTTTTCCAACCTATCCTCATCTTCAGGTGCTCTGATATCCACTAATGCACATTATTTTAATATTAGTCTCTGTAAAAATTTAGAGTAAGCTGAAAATTATTCAATGGTCGTAGAATGTACGAGCCAGCATTTGCAAAATGCAATACAACTTTGCATGCAATAAAAAATATCAAATAAGGTATATAGTTTGCAACAGCTCTTAAAAGACCCAAGTTAGGTTATGTGATTTTAATTAGGTTTCGAACAAAGGCCTTTAATTTATGTTTTTTTTTACGTGTAGCCTATTTAAACAATATTTACTGTCAATATTTCTTGTTTATTAATGTTTACAGCATATTTCTTTTCCTTTTTACAAAATATTTCATACTATGACCAACACAAAATTCTCAGACTTCCTGCTAATATACACTGACTAATTTTTAACTAATATACATTAGTTAATGAGTAAATATTCAGTGATATCGAGTAAGTGACAAGATTTATCCTACAAGTAATAAATAACCAACGGGCTCTCATAAAGGGGAGGAAGGTGTAAAAATCACCAATAGATGATAGTCTTCAAACGCTTCAGATGATTCAATGAATTTAAACAAGTATTATGATAGGTATATCAACTTTCATTCAAGAATTAGGCTGTTAGTGTTTGACATGAGAATGCATATATGGTTTTATATAATCGGAGAGTATTATATTCCGGGTATTACATAACTAACTAACTTGTCTGATTATATTACATATGTACATACCTGCTCATTTGGTATCATTAAGTCCAGCTGTTTCTATAGCTAGGACTTAAAGATACATGTCATATTTCCTTATTGTATATACACACTATATATATATATATATATATATATATATATATATATATATATATATATATATATATATATATATATATATATATATATATATATATATATATATATATGTCGTACCTAGTAGCCAGAACGCACTTCTCGGCCTACTATGCAAGGTCCGATTTGCCTAATAAGCCAAGTTTTCCTGAATTAATATATTTTCTCAAATTTTTTTCTTATGAAATGATAAAGCTACCCATTTCATTATGTATGAGGTCAATTTTTTTTATTGTAGTTAAAATTAACGTAGATATATGACCGAACCTAACCAACCCTACCTAACCTAACCTAACCTATCTTTATAGGTTAGGTTAGGTTAGGTAGCCGAAAAAGTTAGGTTAGGTTAGGTTAGGTAGGTTAGGTCGTCGAAAAACAATTAGTTCATGAAAACTTGGCTTATTAGGCAAATTGGGCCTTGCATAGTAGGCTGAGAAGTGCGTTCTGGCTACTAGGTACGACATATATATATATATATATATATATATATATATATATATATATATATATATATATATATATATATATATATATATATATATATATATATATATGTCGTACCTAATAGCCAGAACGCACTTCTCAGCCTACTATTCAAGGCCCGATTTGCCTAATAAGCCAAGTTTTCATGAATTAATGTTTTTTCGTCTACCTAACCTACCTAACCTAACCTAACCTAGCTTTTTTTGGCTACCTAACCTAACCTTACCTATAAATATAGGTTAGGTTAGGTTAGGTAGGGTTGGTTAGGTTCGGTCATATATCTACGTTAATTTTAACTCCAATAAAAAAAAATTGACCTCATACATAGAGAAAAGGGTTGCTTTATCATTTCATAAGAAAAAAATTATAGTAAATATATTAATACAGTAAAACTTGGCTTATTAGGCAAATCGGGCCTTGAATAGTAGGCTGAGAAGTGAGTTCTGGCTACTAGGTACGACATATATATATATATATATATATATATATATATATATATATATATATATATATATATATATATATATATATATATATATATATATATATATATATATATATATATATATATATATATCAGACTAATGCGTCGTTTTCTGAAATTTATTACACATAAAATAACCTCAAATGTTCACATTATATAAATGGCAAGCTTCACCTTGGGTACTAGTACTACTGTTGTCACCGTGTACTCCACAAGTAACGTAACGCCATAATGCAACGCTCACATATGCACTATTTACACAGTCAAAAGACTTTAAGCTGACATCCAATGCACTACCTACCGTACGTTTCTCTGAGCCTTGTCAGACTCCTCACCTCGTATTCACCACAGATCTAATGTGTGACCATAAAACGCTTTATTGAAGCCAGGAGCTAAATAGCGAAAACACTGCAGCAGACCAAGTACAGTGATCAGTACAGTCCTCAGACGTCTAATAACACAGCAAGCAGACCAAGAGCAGACATGTTCCTTTCTGTACTTCGAATCAAATTTCTTTGAAAGGTGTTACATATTTCTTAATTGGTTTAAAATAATATTTTCTAATAGAACACTGAATTCGAGACTAGGATTGCGTCTCCTCGAGTGTATCAGCAGCAGGACGGAATCTGTAAACAAAGCTGGGGACGCCGGCCGGAGACGCCGGGCGAGGACGCCGCAGTAGACCACAGTTGAACATCCTGGTTATTGAGTACTCTTGCACTTGTGCAAGCTGCGTCAATACACTTAACATTAAGTGCGCCTGGATTGACAGCCCACCTGTGCACGAAGCTGGCAAGTCTGACGGTCAAGACCTCTTGACAATAGCTTGCCAGCTGATGCAGCGATTTGAAGGATTTTCATCTTTTCCGGAGTAAATACTTCAGCATCTTTAATTACGCTCGAGCTTAACAAATTTTATGGAACCCGATTTATTTAACGTTCATGCAATTTTTCTAACACCAGCATCACAGTGAGCCATCACTTCTTATAATAACAGCGAGTCCCTTATTTTCTCTTTGTTGATTTCTAGTTCTGAAAACCCCAGAGTCAAAGGCCCATCACTAGATGTTAGCTATAGTCAGTTTCTGGTGTACGCGTACACCAGAATTTGATACTCAATCTTTTTTACATATACTTGCAACTCTGCCACTTGGTGTGCGATGTCCTTCACAAGGCGAGGGAGGAGACGTGACTGAGGCGAGGCAGATTCGAAGTGAGTGTCTGCGACAGGGAAATCGGGATGGATTGCGGAATAGTTTGTTGCACAGATAAAGGCAGAGACTGAGAGAGGCCCTGACCTAAGGACACAGACAGCGTTTGTGGCAGACCCTGGAAGGCCGAGCGTCGCGACTGAATATTTGACTGCGGGTCCATGGGCTTGATAGATGGGATCTGCGACGCGTTGGTGCTGCTGCCTCCCGTGCCTCCCGCAGCCACTCCTAAAGGTATACCAATTAGTAATATCAGTTACAACTGTCTTTGCATATATAATCCATATACCTATGTTAATCTTCGTTATCCTCACATATGCGATAATTACCGTTGTAGGGGACAGATGCCTGTACTATTATGAGTTTCACCCTACTCTCTGAGGTCGAATTACTGACCTCCTTCAGGATGCAACCCACAATTTCCTAACTCCCAAGTTCATACTTACTGCTAGGTGAAGTGCATCAGGTGAAAGGGAACGTGCTTAACTATCTTGGGACCTTACCTGGAGTGTTGGACGACTTCTCCATCTGTTGAGACTGTGAGAGGTTGGAAAGGCGGTTGACGTGGACAGGAATAGGAACTATGATCTTATGCCCCGACGCAGAACTCTTGCCCCCACCAGATGATCCGGAGACCAGACCAGCCTTCACACGCTTCCACTTGGCACGGCGGTTTTGAAACCATATTTTCACCTGTACCTGTGATGGTGAACGATTTTTGAATAGCTGCATTAACCCCGTAATAAAGCTTCTTTTTTTTAAATTTATATATGCATGGGTTTTGTTGCAAAGTCTTTAACAGACTTAAAGTACAATGGTGAATTTCCAATTACTTTAGGCATTCTGTTAATAGTTACCATACCTTGCAAAGAAAATTATTTATATATAAAAAGACCAAATAACTTTGACAAAATATATAGAGTATTGAGTGAAGATGTGCACTACTCAAATGTCCTGCATGATTTCCCTCTCACATGTGATCAGATAACGCGCGCGCGCGCGCACACACACACATCTATCTACATTTCTATCTAACAACAACTCGCAAAGAATAACTTCAGATGCATTATGATATCCTCAAGAGTGGATAAAGTAACTGCAGAGCTCCTGGTACCCTACATTAGCTGAGTACAAAACCTTTATCATAAGTTATGGGATTTGTATATCAATGTTCAAAGGAAATACGGAGGTAATATTACAGCTGATTTCATCTATCGGTAAAAAAGTACACTATCAGCAGGCCTGGCCAACAGCAGCCATAAGCTTATACCATCTATTCGCACAAAATTACACTATCAACAGGCCACCCTATAAGATACAGCTGGTGCCATCTGTTGCCATGACGTTGAACTACCAACAGGCCAACAGCAACCCATAAGGCGGGTTGTTGAACTCCACGAAGCATTCCCGCGTTTGAATTTTATTGGCAGAAAATCTTTGACATTCACCATAACAGCCAATCACAGGAAGGGACCAGCTAAGTGCTCCGCCCACATAATAATATCATTGGTGTTCAGCGCACCAGCCCAGTTGATGACATTCTGTTTCTACTTTCAACCATTTGAAATTGTTCATTAATTGATTATGAAATAGTTTCGGACATATTGTAGGATATTATAGGATAAAAACGTTGTTATTCTAAAATAGCGTGACCTCCTAACCTGTGACGTCATCAGGTCATCAGTGGTCGGTTTTTACGCAAAACTCGGCAACTAGATGGAACTTCTTGCGCGCATGCGCACACACATACATGTATTTTAATTTGTTTACATCAGTTTATATTGTTTACTGTAAACAGTAAAATATCAGTAAACAGTATATATATAAATATAAATAAATAAATATAAATATATATCGTACCTAATAGCCAAATCGCACTACTTAGTCTAATATGCAAGGCCTGATTTGTCTAACAGGCAAAGTTATTTTCTAAATTTTCAAATATTCCTATTCAAATTGGTTTATATGAATTAATATTATTATAATATATTAAGAACATAAATTACTGACTTAGGTTAGGTTATGTTTGATCAAATTTCTTAGTTTTTACTCAAATTAGAAAATGTTAATCATATATAACGGAAAGCTTTATCATTCCAAAGATAACAAAAATTGAAAAATATAACATTTCAGGGAAACTCGGATTGTTTGGCAACTTGGCCTATTAGGTACAACATATTTATCACTGAAGAACTCTATGATCCGACCAGGGTTCGGATCTCTGTTGCCCGGGATCACCCCTGATGTACACAGTACCACAACCGCCATCGATCGTCTTGGTGCAACCCGTCCTCAGACCAAGTCCGTTCCATCCAACGGTCGACCCCAAAGACGTTATTCTTTGGGGTCGACTCTAATATTGAAGGGTCGAAACTCAGCAACTCTGCTGAGTACAAAACTCTGGCCTCCAAATACCCGGCGGTGCCCGGGATATTCTGTCTATCCCCCCACCCCTCTTTCTCCTTTCTTCCTCCTCCATTTTTCATCCTTCCTTCGTCTCCCCCCATCCACTTGGGCCCTCTCCCAGTTTCCCCCTCTTTTCCCCTTCTCTCAGAAAATGTATGGACCTTCACCCCCCCCCCCTTCCCTGTCACTTTCGTCTCTCCCCTTTGCCCTCCCCCTCCCCTTCACACCGCCCATCTCTTTCCTCCCCTGCTTCTCTATCCTAGCAGTAAATAGGTACCTGGGAGCTAGACAGCTGCATCCTAGGAATGTGTGTGTGTGTGTGTGTTTACTAGTTGTGTTTTTGCGGGGGTTGAGCTTTGCTCTTTCGGCCCGCCTCTCAACTGTTTACTAACTACTTTTTTTTCCCCCACACCACACACACACACCAGGAAGCAGCCCGTGACAGCTGACTAACTCCCAGGTACCTATTTACTGCTAGGTAACAGGGGCACTTAGGGTGAAAGAAACTTTGCCCATTTGTTTCTGCCTCGTGCGGGAATCGAACCCGCGCCACAGAATTACGAGTCCTGCGCGCTATCCACCAGGCTACGAGGCCCCTGTGTGTGTGTGTGTGTGTGTGTGTGTGTGTGTGTGTGTGTGTGTGTGTGTGTGTGTGTGTGTGTGTGTGTGTGTGTGTGTGTGTGTGTGCTTGCTTATGAGAAATATGTAGATATGATAGATGAAAAAATGTCAGGAATCAGCACACTCAACAACAGACGGTTAGGAAGGCGGAGTCCAAGGCCTTAACAGCTCGATCCTGCAACAACAAACGATATATACAAATAGTAAATACACACACACACACACGTGTGCGTGTTTATGGATGTGTATACGGTGTATGAGTATGCATTTATGCATGTGTATAGTGTGTGAAGAGCAGGAGGAAGGCTGACCTCGGACAGGTTGAGCGTCTGGGCGATGTGGGAGCGTTCGCTAAGCGTCAGGTACTTCTTGGTCTGGAACTCTCGCTCCAGCTCCATCAGCTGCTCCGAGGTGAAGGCGGTCCGACGCCGCCTCGACTTGCTGCCGCCCACGCCCGCACCTCCGCCCACGCCCTCATGGCCATCACCTGGTGTAACGTGACATATCTTTTGATAGTAATGCAACATAAAGTGTTAAAACACATTAGCACAAATCATGTAATTGGAGAACCACTCAATCATAAGCGATGTTATTTGTTTTAATTGGTAATCATTTAGTATATATATATATATATATATATATATATATATATATATATATATATATATATATATATATATATATATATATATATATATATATATGACAATGTCAGACCACGGAGGAAAATGAAACAGGAATTTCCTTAAGTACTTTCGTATATTAAATACATCTTCATTCCTTCTGAAGATGTATTTAATATACGAAAGTACTTAAGGAAATTCCTGTTTCATTTTCCTCCGTGGTCTGACATTGTCACATTCTTAATCACGTGTTTATTTTCGTGATATACACACACACACACACACACACACACACACACACATATATATATATATATATATATATATATATATATATATATATATATATATATATATATATATATATATATATATATATATATATATATATATATATACTAGGAAGTGCCCGGCGTTGCCCGGGTGTCTTACCCCTCCTCTGTCCCACCCGTCCCCTGATCCAACCCCCCCCCCCACCCCTCACCAGCTTAGCCCCTCTTTCTTGCAAAAAAAAATTATATTAGGAGGTACCTGGCGGTGCCTGGGATATTCTCTCTCCAAGCTCCCACCCCTCTCTCATCTCCCTCTTAAACCTCCCCCCCCCCCTCGTCCCTCCCATGTCCTTCCCTCTTTCTCTCTTCCCTTTTCCTTCGCCTCCCCCCTGCTTCTCTCGCTCCCCCCATCCACTAGGTCCTCCCTTCCCCCATTACACCCAATTACCTTCTTCTCTAAGAAAATGCATGGGTCTCTTCGGCCCTTTCCCCTCCACCTTCGTCACCTCTTCATCCTCCCCCTCCCCCTCCACGTGCACTTCTCTATCACCCTCGCTCCCACATTATAACTAATATCATAATAAAAGAGCAAATGTCACATGTCTTTATAATATTAAAAAGACATTTATACAGAATATAATAATTCCTTCTTTCGAATCTATGAGTAGGGCATCAGTCTTTTATGGAAGGGGACGGTTCAGAATTAAATTTATGTTTTATGGGATTATGGTCTTAGTTTAAATGGCACGATTTTTCTGCTAATTTTCCCGAGAAAAATTAATAATGGTGTATAATTCTATAGGAAAAATCTGCTTTGATTTTCTTTTACAAAATGTTTTCAATGGTGGCGGCCAGTGGGGGTGCCTTAACCTTATGGGGGTGCAACCCGTTCTCGCACTTTCTTATAGTCAATATTGACTTATTGAATAAGTGCATATGTGACATACTAATTTATTGTGTATATTTTAGTTTACCTTGAAAAGCTTCATAGAAAACACCGACCTTACCTAACCTTCTTAGTATGTTAAGATAAGCATCTTATTGCTTCGTAATTACAATTATTACTTAACCTATTATAGGTATAGGTTAAGTAATAATTGTAATTATGAAGCAATAAGATGCTATTATAGGTATAGGTTAAGTATAATACTTAACCTATTATTGGTATAGGATTAGTAATAATTGCAATTACGAAGCAATAAGATGCTATTATAGGTATAGGTTAAGTAATAATTGTAATTACGAAGCAATAAGATGCTTATCTTAACATACTATGAAGGTTAGGTAAGGTCGGTGTTTTCTATGAAGCTTTTCAAGGTAAACTAAAACATTCACAATAAATTAGTATGTCACATATGCACGTATTTAATAAGTCAATATTGACTATAAGAAAGTGCGAGAACGGGTTGGGGGGGTGGGAGGGGGGGGGAGAGTGTAACGGGGGGTGGGGGGAAATAACTCTATCTTGTCCATTATTCCACCCCCCAGTTAACTAACGAGGCCGGGGGAAACAGCTCTCTCTAGTCCGTTATCCCGTCCCCAGTTAGCTAACTATTCTAGAGCACCCTCCAGAGTTCCTAAGGCAACCTCTCTCGTTCAACACCTTGTAACCTAGGTATTTGACTACCTAGGTGCTAAGACTACAAGGCGCCGTAACTTGATCAGTTACCCGAAACTCTAGAGAGAACTCTAGAATACAGAATCATTGCCTCAAACGTAAAAGAGATAACGAAAGGAAAGAAATGCATAGTGAAGTAATTAGTGAGGGTTTGGGGTGAGAGGGAGAGAAGTGGGAGGAGTGAGGAGGGTCATTAGTTGAAAGTGAGAGTTCAGAGAGGGGTGGAGGGAGAGGAGTAGATAGGTAGATGTGGAAGAGTAGATAGAAGTAGACGTAGAAGAGTAGAGGAGTAGAAAGTAGATAGTAGAAGACGAAATGCTGCCACCATCCATTCATGATCATTACATACAAGACAAGGAATGGAACTTGCCTGTATCACAAAATTCTCAAAAGATGTTATCATGAGTTCATTATTAGTATGTTCCCTCTGTACCATGTATCAACTCCAAACATGTACTCGTTAATATCATGAAACCAGTAACCACAGAGGCTTTCTCACCTCAACTCAAAATCTCTAGGGAACAAAGTTAAACACAATTTAAATAATAAATTCATAATTATATTTCCCATGAAGTATCATAATTTAGCAATTCAATTAAAATGTTAAAGAGAGTCATCATCCAAGAATTCGAGAAACCTACAACTTGACTGCCCCTGATCATCACACAACACTTGTAAAACACGACAAGTCACCTTACTGTTCACTCACCAAGTGTCTGAGTCTAAGTTGAATAGAGAGGGGGGGGGGGTTTGTAGTTGACGGAGACTCCCGCCCTGCCGGCCGACAGCCTCCCGTCTGCTCTGCTCTCCTGACTGCCGTTCTGTCTGTTCTGTCTGTTAATGCTCCATGCTGGATAGCTCTCCGAGTTTATATTGGGGAACCTAGTAGCTAACTCCGCCCACAAGTAGATAGCCTCCGGCACTACCAAGCCACTCCTTAAACGTCGGCATGTTTGAAGGCTACCCGGCTCCAATTATACGCTTAGCGGAAGCAAGGTGAAATTATCATGATCTGACCTCAGGTCACTTGGGGTCATTAACGGTTAGAGGTGTGAGATCTCAGGCAGACAACTGGCGCCTCTCAGATCCTTGTCTGTGACTCATGTACTCTATATATATTTTAAATAAACTAACCCAAACACTTTTACAGTGTTACATCTCCCCTTCTCCCCGAAAATAAAGTTTTTGCAACACTTCTAAAGCAAGCTAGCTGTGTGCGACAACTTTATTAACGAAAAGAATACATCCTAGCTAAACAAATATACATCATCCTACTCTAAAAAAATGAAATATATAGACAGACGTCCATTGTCTCTGGCTGGGCGACGTCACTGCTTGGTCTTGTAGATAATCCTGTACCACATTTCTTCAACACAACTGCCTCCGTCGCTTCTCCGTCGTTAACGCACAACAACCCTTGGTCAACCCGAAAGCCGTTACTACTTGAACTGCGCACAGGACCGTGGAATTCGGTTGTCCCAGCTGATCTGTAATTGGCCCTACGTCAGTCACCATGAGAGACGTATATTGGGGTTCTTCACAGCTATAGGGACTACAAGTTTCGAGACCTTCATATAGTTGCCAACAGTAGAAATCCCATCCTACTCTTCTTCCTCCCTGTTGCTCCAGCACGCCTCCTTCAGAGAGCTACTTCTGACAGCCACATCAAGTCTGCATGACACAGGAAGAATCACTCAACAGAGCTACCTGCTTGCAGGAGGGGCGGCCAGTCAAGGCAAACGATCCTGTCTTGCAATTACGCTCCATGCAATGATGCTGACACCAGCAAGGGACACTAGGTATCGTGTCTCAGCTTGTCTTATCTTCTTCTTTCTTCTCTCTTCTTTCTTCTCTCTTCTTTCTTCTCCCTTCCTTCTTCTCTCTTCTTTCTTCTCTCTTCTTTCTTCTCTCTTCCTCCTCCCATGGGTCTTTGACAAGCGACCTGGGGTCCATTGGGGTCCGTCCGTCCTGGGGTCCATCCTGGGTAGACCGATGTTGGTGGGACAGACTGGAGTCGTTGTTGCTCCTCTTCCATCATTACTGGGTCGTCTGGGGTCGTCTGCAGAACGACCTGGGGTCCACTGGGGGTCCGTAAGTCTTGGGGTCCACTGGGTAGACCAATGTTGACCGACCGAGAGGACTGCATCTTGGGGTCCCCGGGGTAGTGGTGGTGGTGGTGGAGCCATGACCTCCAGGTAGTGGGGCTGGTCGTGGTGGTGGTGATAAACGCCCCTGAGTGTGGTACACAGCAGCCGTCTCCCTCTTCTGTATATGCGTCGCGCCTCTCCTCTGGCTCCCACCTGTGAATTGAACATAAAGGCGACAATACCCGTGTTCCATGCTGTTGTGTGACCCTGTAGTTTGTATAGGGTTACACAGTTATATCATAACGCTCTCCTCCTGGCAACAACTACACTTCAAATTTTTTTTTTTTTTTTTAATAATCCAATTAACTCTGAATGATACTGACTTGGTGGAACATAAAACAGTAACAGAGTAAAGTTAGAGAAGAGAGAATAAGGTCATCACTACTTTTAACCTGTCACAAAAAAAAATCAACACTAATAGACAAACACTAGCCTAAACTTAACTGTACCGTTCCTAATCTTAAGTACATAATTAACCATTACTCCCACCCTTAACCTACAGCCACCTACGTGACCCAGAGTGTTTCCCTAGCATCTCCGCCGGTAAACAACTCAAAACTGTTGCCACCCCTGTGACCAGACTATCTAACGTCGAGCGTCCCCAACGTGAAGTCTACTGACATACTAAGCCTCCCCCTAGCATGCTGTACAATACCAGTACACCTCGGGTTATTGCGTTCAAATGGAGTAAAACAGTCGATCGCAATAATCTGAGCAGAACCACCACTAAATTCTACTTAAGAACTACACCTGCCACTCCCCAACTGACCTGGAGACCAGCGGTGGCTGGGTGTCCTCCTGGGACATGCGAGGTCACCTGTCACACTCAGCTGACCTGCACTACCAACACCGCTAAGTTCCCAAATCGCCAAATCTTATCACTAACATTAATCACTACACACGCAAGTTCTGGTGAACATTCCCTGAACACCACAAAACTCACAAAATCACTAAACCACAACACTAGTGAATCACTATCTCCTAGCCTGAAAAAAACTCGCTAAATCGCGAAAGTAAAACACCTGTCAAGATCTCCCTGATAGCGCCTGAGCGGCAAAAAGACACGTGGGACTGAACAATGTTCAAAAGAACACCAATACCTTAAACATTGTTCAACACCGCTGCCAACATTGTAACGGGGGGGTGGGGGGAATAGCTCTATCTTGTCCATTATTCCACCCCCCAGTTAACTAACGAGGCCGGGGGAAACAGCTCTCTCTAGTCCGTTATCCCGTCCCCAGTTAGCTAACTATTCTAGAGCACCCTCCAGAGTTCCTAAGGCAACCTCTCTCGTTCAACACCTTGTAACCTAGGTATTTGACTACCTAGGTGCTAAGACTACAAGGCGCCGTAACTTGATCAGTTACCCGAAACTCTAGAGAGAACTCTAGAATACAGAATCATTGCCTCAAACGTAAAAGAGATAACGAAAGGAAAGAAATGCATAGTGAAGTAATTAGTGAGGGTTTGGGGTGAGAGGGAGAGAAGTGGGAGGAGTGAGGAGGGTCATTAGTTGAAAGTGAGAGTTCAGAGAGGGGTGGAGGGAGAGGAGTAGATAGGTAGATGTGGAAGAGTAGATAGAAGTAGACGTAGAAGAGTAGAGGAGTAGAAAGTAGATAGTAGAAGACGAAATGCTGCCACCATCCATTCATGATCATTACATACAAGACAAGGAATGGAACTTGCCTGTATCACAAAATTCTCAAAAGATGTTATCATGAGTTCATTATTAGTATGTTCCCTCTGTACCATGTATCAACTCCAAACATGTACTCGTTAATATCATGAAACCAGTAACCACAGAGGCTTTCTCACCTCAACTCAAAATCTCTAGGGAACAAAGTTAAACACAATTTAAATAATAAATTCATAATTATATTTCCCATGAAGTATCATAATTTAGCAATTCAATTAAAATGTTAAAGAGAGTCATCATCCAAGAATTCGAGAAACCTACAACTTGACTGCCCCTGATCATCACACAACACTTGTAAAACACGACAAGTCACCTTACTGTTCACTCACCAAGTGTCTGAGTCTAAGTTGAATAGAGGGGGGGGGGGGTTTGTAGTTGACGGAGACTCCCGCCCTGCCGGCCGACAGCCTCCCGTCTGCTCTGCTCTCCTGACTGCCGTTCTGTCTGTTCTGTCTGTTAATGCTCCATGCTGGATAGCTCTCCGAGTTTATATTGGGGAACCTAGTAGCTAACTCCGCCCACAAGTAGATAGCCTCCGGCACTACCAAGCCACTCCTTAAACGTCGGCATGTTTGAAGGCTACCCGGCTCCAATTATACGCTTAGCGGAAGCAAGGTGAAATTATCATGATCTGACCTCAGGTCACTTGGGGTCATTAACGGTTAGAGGTGTGAGATCTCAGGCAGACAACTGGCGCCTCTCAGATCCTTGTCTGTGACTCGTGTACTCTATATATATTTTAAATAAACTAACCCAAACACTTTTACAGTGTTACAAGAGGTGATCCTGGCACGCTGTTCCCTTTTGAATTCTAGCGACCCCGACCAGCCTATGTTCATCCTGGATCCCAGACCATTGTTCCTGTCAATTTGGGTGAAGCGAGGCCCAAGCCTCTGGCCTCCAGCAACCAGGAGGACTGGTCGACGACCGGGCCGCGGGGACGCGAAACCCAGGAAGCACCTCAAGGTAACCTCCAACTTCATACAGACACATACACATTCCCTCTTATACGTACAGGTATATGTAGGCTGGAGTGAAATTACGATGTGAGTCAACGAGCCTTATACACTAGTGGTGAGTGACTGTAGCATCAAATTAGATTTGATCCCGGGAAATTTGTTTGCATTGTAAGTGCGTTTCCTCAACTACCTGTCAGATACTGCTTACTAGACAAGGATTGGCAGCCTTTCTAGCAGCACTCACTCATAGATATTCAATGTCTGTCTTTGTGCCTATGTATGACTGTCTGCCTGTTTGTGTCTGAGTGTCTATATGTATGTTTGTCTGTCTGTGCTCCCCTTTCCCCCACCCACTCACCTGTCCTGGAGGAGCGGTCGGCCGAGGAGCCAGCATCGTCGTCCTCACTCTCAACGGGGTCGATCTCCAGGTCGTCGGCCAGGTCGTCTAGGGAAGAAATAAACACTTCTTAAAACGCATTCAAAAACTCGTGCAAACTACACACTGAGCCACGAGCTAGCCACAATAGGGAAGGATTTCAGAGGCACCAAACCACTGCCCAAACTGAAACTTTAAGCCTTGCCTAGGCAGCCACTTGAGTACCGAAGAATTAGGTGATCCACACCCCGAATTATACAAATTGTCAACCACAAAACCGGGGTTGACAATTATCGGCCTAGTCGATAGAGCACTCGTCTCTGAGGCTGGAAGTCGCGTGTTCGAGGCTCCTGTTTCCCTGGTGAATGTTGCTATCCTCCACGGTATTGTGGTTAACAATATATATATATATATATATATATATATATATATATATATATATATATATATATATATATATATATATATATATAAATATATATATATATAAATAAATAAAAGCTCTAATATAGAGCTTTCTGAAAAACTTGTCCTTTGATTTTAAATACATAAGAGTACATGTAATTATAAATAACTTTAAATAACTTATTGCCTAATTAGTGTATCAAATACCTGTCAAGTAACATCATATTTATACTTTGAAGGTGTTGCTATTTCTAAATATCTTTGCTGCTAACCTTCTATCCTGGATTTATTTGCTGTACTCCTTCCTGATATGTCATTAACACCTGGCACGCCACACATCGAAGTTACTACACAAAATATGCCAATCAAAATTTTGTTTTCAAGTGTATAAAATTTACAATTTCCAGCAGCGTCCCTTGACCACAGCCCACGCGAGTCAGCACCGGCGTCAGGAGTGGCCAACCTACGCAGGAAGCGTACACACAGCATGTGTTTTAATTTCAATAGATCAACGGAGTTTTGACATTGCAAGTCGATAGCCTCAAAATTGCAGTGTTTCAAATTTAATAACATGACGCAGGTAATATCGATAGGTAGATCGATTTGTCCACCACATTTCCAGCTAGGCTTCCCAGACCACCATACTTCCAGCTAGGCTTCCCAGCCCACCATACTTCCAGCTAGGCTTCCCAGCCCACCAATCTTCCAGTTAGGCTTCCCAGCCCACCATTCTTCCAGCTAGGCTTCCCAGCTCACCATTCTTCCAGCTAGGTTTCCCAGCCGACCATTCTTCCAGCTAGGCTTCCCAGCCTATCACACTTCCAAGTAGGCTGGCCAGCCCACCACACTCCCAGGTAGGATTACTTCCTATTATATTCCCAGTTCCAATCACTGGTTTCTACCCAGTTTATTGAGATCCTCCTGAATAGCTTAGTCTGTTAACTCATAAGACAGAGAACGTCTAGCGTGACACAACTCGCCCTCTCGAATATTGCATCGCCTTTTGGCGTATAAATCCCTTAAGGCAGTACATCAGTGTAGTACACTGAAGTACTACAAATCATAGTGGCTCGCAAAATTGACGTGATGTCCTGTTTTCTATGCGTGGGTCCTCAGTTAATTTAGGTTTGGGAAATTTAGTACATCAGTTTAATGACGTTGGGAACTCTGGTGAGGACGGGGTGCATAGTGAGCGCCTAGTGTGGTATTACCGACAGCGTCTGAAGTGGTGGCTCTTAAGACAATAAGCACCAGGAGTAGCAACACTGACACTGCAGGCAACAAGACGTGAACGCCCCTGACCACTACACACAAATTTCAAATCCATAAAAACGCGTCTTTGTGTGAAGAGTAATTGTGCTAATGAGTGTGGCGGCGGGCAGCGAGTGGGCCTCTCCACACAAACATTGGCGGGAAGGTGGGTGTTAGAAGCTGTATTATACGTTGTGATGAGGCTATTACCCGCCGGGTTGTCAGTGAGGCGGGGATCGCTCCAGGCCCGTGGTTCAGGAGGCGGCGTGTGGGCCGCCGGACTCAACCCTACCTGATACTTTGGTCCTCTCAGCCCTACCTGATACTCTGGTCCTCTTAGCCCTACCTGATACTTTGGTCCTCTCAACCCTACCTGATACTTTGGTCCTCTCAACCCTACCTGATACTTTGGACCTCTCAGCCCTACCTGATACTCTGATCCTCTCAACCCTACCTGATACTTTGATCCTATCTGATACGTTGGTCCTCTCAACCCTACCTGATACTTTGGTCCTCTCAACTCTACCTGATACGTTGGTCCTCTCAGCCCTACCTGATACTGTGATCCTCTCAACCCTACCTGATACTCTGATCCTCTCAACCCTACCTGATACGTTGGTCCTCTCAACCCTACCTGATACGTTGGTCCTCTCAACCCTACCTGATACTTTGGTCCTCTCAACCCTACCTGATACTTTGGTCGCTTCAAGCCTTGTCGGTTCTTTGATCGCTCATAAATGGTTACTATGGGGTCGTACTGGTTCAAATTCCCCTGAGCTCTTTGCCTTAGATCAATGTCTTCTACCTTTGTACCGCGTCTACTAAATTTTGCTTGTGTAATTAGCAGGCGTTTGATGGTACGTAATTAGCGCATGGTTCCTGTTAAACAATGCATTCTTAAACAGGCTTTGTGATATCTATAGTGACAGGTTTTTATCTTTTCATATCTGGGACTGGTTTTTTATATACATTGTTAATAAAGTTTTCTTTATCTATAACACAGTATCAAACGCACAACAAAAAAGTACCATTTACTGCGAGTTTCATTAACCTTTACATAAGAATCCCCTAAAAAATGCTCCGAAAATATGTGGAGTGAACGCATCGCGATCGTACCATCCTCTCTAATGTAAACTTGCCCCCTATCAGCTGATGATGTAAACAAATAACATAACTCTATCAGCTGATGGTGTAAACATTAAAGCTAATGATTTAGACAAACAATACAGAGTAATGTCAGCTGGTCGTGAAATTAAAACAAAACATCATCAGCTGGTACTGTCAACAAACACGATGGAGCCTAACGCGAACTATATAAATAAATTTGAAAGTACTAAAATAACATGAGACCGTGTTTATCAGATTATATGATATAATAACGAGCTATTAACCTGTGTAGCGTGTTCGACATAACTAACTACCTTTATGAATTATTATGTGACTGGTTAATATGTAGCACATTGGCTTAGGGAACCCAGACAATGGTAATGATGCAGTTCCCACGCAGTGATGGCGGTGCAGTACCCACAGTGTGAATATTTCTCCCTCATTACTGTGAGGATACTCCTTCACCATCACTGTGTGGGGTACTCCTGCACCATCACTGTATGGGTACTCCTTCACTATCACTGTGGGTACTCCTTCACCATCACTGTAAGGGTACTCCTACACCATCACTGTGTGGGTACTCCTTCACCATCACTGTATGGGTACGCCTTCATCATCACTGTGTGGGTACTCCTGCACCATCACTGTAAGGGTACTCCTACACCATCACTGTGTGGGTACTCCTTCACCATCACTGTATGGGTACTCCTTCACCATCACTGTGTGGGTACTCCTGCACCATCACTGTAAGGGTACTCCTACACCATCACTGTGTGGGTACTCCTTCACCATCACTGTATGGGTACGCCTTCATCATCACCGTGTGGGTACTCCTCCATTAAAGCGAAAACTCCTTTACTGCCACAAGGCAAAAACACCAGTGGTCTGGTGATCCATCAGACTGTGAGACATAAAACCTGGTGTGCCAAGTCGTTCAGAACTGTTAACTACGTGTTACAGCAATTCGTCTCGGTTAATGATGGTCAAGGAAGAGCAATAACCGGAGCTTAATGGTGGTAATCGACGGCAACATATCATAGCATGTCAAGTATCACAACGAGGTCAAGCGAGGCATTATCATATATTAAAGCAAAACACACATTAACAGTGAGAAAATTAGTTGTGGCGATGTAATGGTATCGAACTTGCTCCCTGGGGTCACTCCAGATGCACGCGTGACCAGGGTTCGGTTCCATCTCATTGCCACAAAAGATTTTCTAATAGATATATCACACTATTGTGATTTCATTGTGCATACGGGCAGTTTTTGCTGAACAGTTTCCCACTGTCTTGTAATGTCTTTACAAGTGTACTCTGAGAATGTAAATTTTTGAGAAAATCGGTAGAAGCCATGAAAAGGATTCAAACCTGCACACTGGGTATTCTCAAGCACACTACTCGTAGTCCAGTGGTTTAAGGCGTATGCTTAGGCGTACCCAGTGTCCAGGTTCGAATCCTCCTCATGGCTCCTACTGATTTTCTCATCGACACATCACATTATTGTGATTTATTTGTGCAATGTAAACTTTGGTGGAGATGAAAACGAACACCATTAAGAAATAATATATTAAAACAAGGCACGGGGCATCAGCCACAGTTAAGGATTTGCGCCCAGTAAATCCTCCCCGGCCAGGATACGAACCCATGACAAAGCGCTCGCGGAACGCCAGGCGAGTGTCTTACCACTACACCACGGAGACTGTTAAGTTCACTTAGTTGTGTTTGCGGGGGTTCAGCTTTGCTCTTTCGGCTCGCCTCTCAACTGTCAATCAACTGTTTACTAACTACTTTTTTTATCCACACCACACACACACCCCAGGAAGCAGCCCGTGACAGCTGACTAACTTCCAGGTACATATTTACTGCTAGGTAACAGGGACATTCAGGGTGAAAGAAACTTTGCCCATTTGTTTCTGCCTGGTGCGGGAATCGAACCCGCGCCCCAGAATTACGAATCCAGCGCGCTATCCACCAGGCTACCAGCACCCCCCCCCCCCAGGAATGTGTGTGTGTGTGCTTACCTAGTTGTGCTTGCGGGGTTTGAGCTCTGGCTCTTTGGTCTTTGGTGTGTACTCACCTAGTTGTACTCACCTAAATGTGTTTGCGGGGGTTGAGCTCTGGCTCTTTGGTCCCGCCTCTCAACTGTCAATCAACTGGTGTACAGATTCCTGAGCCTATTGGGCTCTATCATATCTACACTTGAAACTGTGTATGGAGTCAGCCTCCACCACAACACTACTTAATGCATTCCATTTGTTAACTACTCTGACACTGAAAAAATTCTTTCTAACGTCTCTGTGGCTCAT